CAACACATTATTAAAAATCTAGGTAACCCTCAACATACAAGACGAAATTGATCGTCCCTTATCCCGGTACGTATCTCCTTAAAATATCACAATGGGTCCCAACCGTCGCACGTCTAGTTTGGTCGTACACGGCATCGGGCTTTTTGCTAGGGATCGATAATCTAAGTAACAAGATCGAGGTGCCTAAGGTTTTGTCTCATATTAATACGGGCTAAGATCCGTTCCATCCCAAATAGGTGAGCTTATTTAAGCGTTGGATACTAATAAGCAATAATACTAGGGAAACGAACCCAGTCTCGCGGGGAATAAGGGCTAGCTTGATCGGAATTTAATCTCACGTACATCGTGAAGCTACGTAGTTGCCCGAAGCATACCGGGACCATGCCTGCTCGACACCTTAGCAACACCGCGGAATCTAATAATAGGTGGTCCGGAAACGGAGACATCTGGAATAGAGGCACCGGTAGGTCGGAACGAGATGGAACGAGATGGACAGGCTCTGTCGCGTTTCCCAACTCCTTGGTTCCGAGAAGATATGCGAAGCTCCGGCCTCCAAATCCGACATGACCGTGCGTCCGTCCGGATTGAACTTGCATTGGCTAATTGAACTTATAAAATATCGATATGTACCCCGTGCCCATCAACCCGGTGTAATACTTGATAATCATGACGTTTGATCGCAGCTGGAGAAGGAGATCTGATCTTGTGTGACGGCGTCACGACAGAAATAACATGGCTTCGTCGTCGCTCGCACAGTGTTGTGTCCGACGTGCTTAAGTCGTCAGATGCAATCAACCTGCTGAGAAGAATGCCTGCCTGCAAAATACCAAGCGATGCTGATGAGCCAGTGAGGCCTCGCACACTATAGTATATATTTCGTAAACTCTTATCCTAGGCCAATTCTTTCATCTCATTCGATCCTTAGAATATGTAGTAGACACACCGAGATCCTTTTGGCGAACCCTCGGTGGTATGACCGTCTCCGGATACGCTCCTGCTTTCGGCTCCGGCTTCTTTACAAGATGGAATTCATTGCATTCATTATTATGATTCGTCGAGCTTCCAATACCAGTCGCATAGGTACCAATACCAACATATCTAGGAGAAAATGCTCCGCAGAGGATCGCGACCAGGTGACCATCCGGGGGATGCGGCCAAGCAGGGCTACAGAATGAACTCGATTCATTACTCGTCTTGCACGACTCAATTCTAATAAGACATTCCCCATCATACGATATGCCTTCATATAATGCAGATTAGATCAAAGCATCATTGACCATGGTTCGATTACAAGTGAAGCGACAGGTTTGGTCTTTCGATGTACGTACACGGCTAGTAAAGCAGCGGTGAATCCGCAGGACCGGGAACAAGGTCAAGAATTAGAGGCACCCAGACCTTGATTCAGTCAGGCCTTGTCTTACCCCCAAAGAGCTCAATTAACGTCAACGACGTCCTCCGCACGAGCCTATCTCCGCATGTTCTAATCATGTATGTATGTACTATGTAGGGATCTCTTATCGCTTCCTTGGGAAACCCCGTGCCCCCTTCTTAGATACACGAAATTTCGTTGCAGATCGGTCTGGGGTAGCAGCAAGTACATATGTCGCGTACAGCATACGTTCATGTGCGAATATGCAAAATGCGAGTATCCTCGTCTAGTCTATCTGCATGTCAGCCGATGGTCAAACTAGTGATCGGTCTCTCGTGGCCTTGCTGAACACAACAGGATAAAGTACCCCAGGCTCTGAGCTCTTACAAGACAACAAAACCTCTCAATGGCGATCTAATCTCCAATCCAGCATATTTACCTAAGTTACCTAATATATAGCTGCTTGCTCGAATTGGAGTAAGGGGTAGAATATCTAAGCCATACTATTGTTCTGCCCTTATTTGAGACATGGGAAGTCTACCTATCAGGTAGTGTGACAATCGAGGCGCCACCATGCATACTTCCAATAAGACCTAAGGTCGAATAGCCGAGCGTACCGTGATTCGTCCGCCATCGGAACAGACATGGTCAGCCCACTTCACGTTAAGATATCGCATAACGGCCGTTTATGTTCTATACGACATCCGGTCGCGGATGGGTCTAATAGTATCTAGATGGCCGGAAGACTCGGAATGCAACCGCCTCTCGGTCAGCCCGTCTTCTCCCAGCCGTCCGACGTCTGTAATCAAGGCGCCTTAGAAATGTATGATCGGGGTCCATGAAAGGCTGAAATCAGATGGATTTTTTTTTCTTTCGTGTCCTTGTAAAGATATCATGTGAGCTATTAGATATTAGCCAAATGTGTAAGTGTGCAAATGTGCAGCCTTGGTATCGATCCTAGCTCACCGGTGATCTACGAGGAAGCATTCGTTCTAGATGCAGCACTACCCCCAGAGGTAGGGTTGTTAATAAAGGTGGTGTTGGCTAGAAATAGGCATTGTGCCCTGAAATTTTAAGACTAGCCTCTATTATGACTGATAAAATAGAAACTGCTTGTACGCGTAGTTAACAACTTAATCTACAGTGCCTTCGCATTTATATTGCACAGTCTCCATCCTACTGTCCATTATATCCGTTAGATCCCCGCGCTACTAAAACTTCTGGGACAAATAGCTTCTGGCCATAACAGAAATATAGTCCTGCAAAGCTCTGTGGTTTCTTGTGCATTAGTAGAGTTGTCTTCCCACTCCTTGCTCGCATCCTCGCATCCTCGCAGCCTCGCAGCTATCCCTTTTGTGAATATTGCAACTTGCCGATAGGTAACTAGTCGAGTTATATATATATATATTAGTTACTCTTATCCAATCCACCGATCTAGAGCACATAGTCCCATTTTCACCATTCGAATAGTAAAAGCGGCAAAGGCTAACGATATCGTCGACCTTGCTAGCGGCCAAGAAGCGGGGGGTTGTCAAGGTGAGGAGTAACCAATCTCCCCAGCGTAGGTGCGTAGAGGTATGCATACTTACAGTAGCATGATGCCACAATCATATGGCATGTTAAACTGTACAGGCACAGGGTGATATTGAAGTCGACCGCGTGTCTTAGCACGGAATGGTTTTCTGCAACTAACTGCATAGGATAGATAGTGTGCGGCTGGTCGTAATAGATGTGTTGAGAGTTTTGGAAGGCATTGGTCGAGTAGTTATGGTCCAATTCGTTTAGTATTTACTTCTCTAAAGACTCTAGTTTTATTATGAGCTCAAATTTAGCTAAAGGCGTGTCGCTAATTCCCAGAAGATCATGTCGGTGATCTAGAGTGAGTAAGGCTTGAGAAGAAAACATTTGCTCTTTGCTTAATAGATATTTAGCATGCTAAATACCAAGGGTTTTCATCATTGCAAACCTAGTTACTTTAAGTACACGTGTAAAAGATACCATGTAGCTCTATGTTTTACGTTCTCCTTAACCCCCTAAATGATAGACAAAGAGTTGTGTAAACGTAGGGGGGCACTAACTAAGCTGTAAGAAGTAAACAGTTCGGATGCAAGATGGTTAAGAAGTTAGGGGTATATTTAAACTATTAGTGAATACTCGAGTGTTACCTACCATGCGGTTTAAAGGTAATCCTCCTTTAAGAAATCATACTAATTTTTATGTAGAATGCTATGCTTAGGTATTAACCATATCTGAAAAGGCTGCTGCCATTTATGAGTGCTGCATAATAGTCCTCTCCCATCATGGATGGATTTTTGTAGAGTTTTGAGATATGATTTATATAACGGCAACTGGGGGGGGGGGGGGGGGGGGGGGGGGGGGGGGGGGCGGGGGGGGGGGGGGGGGGGGGGGGGGGCGGGGGGGGGGGTC